AATTGTGTCAGGCTGCAAGCATCAACCTGGCAAAACAATAGCTTGGCTACAGGTGCGGCAAATGCCTGATTCTACGACAATGCTGAAACTTCTATACTCGTCTTTACCTCAAGAACTGTACTTTAAAAAGGTCCGGCTCGTCGGGAGCATTACTAATTTCACCCTTTATGTAGAAAAACGAGATATATGTAGGTGCTTTTTAGATTAGTCGATATATGTTATCTTATCAAGACGTCCACATTTCAAAACGCCAAAAGCATTGCTTTCTTGGATAACCAAATCTTGTAAAAATTACTTTGCGCGGCATATGAACAATTAGCAAAACTTTGTTTTCCTGAGGTGAAAACGAGTACACAGCAAATCTCAAGTAAACAAAAAACACACAAAAAAAGGATCTTGCTTTTGTGAAGGTACGCCTAGCGCCTGCTTCAACAAAACATATTGAACCTTATAGCCCATAGGCAGGTATTCATGGCCGCATGTGATGTCACTCTACTAATGCTGGAGGCCGTTTCTACTTTTTCTTTCTGAAGAAAACAAATTTTATGGTGTGAAAGGTATACACATACCCAACAACAAGACCATAGAAGCTACCCACAACTCAGCAGCAAGACCAACACAATAGTACTACACCAGACAGATCTTGGAAGGTTTTCATAGCTTTCATAGATTTCATAGAAGGTTTCGTAGCGGACACCCTAATAAAAAAAGTTTAAAGGTACACGGAGGCAGCCCCGTGAAAGAGCAGCAGTGAGGCCGGTGGTAATCCCCTATGTACACTCACTAACCCACAATCTTAAAAAGGTTGCTGATAGGTACGATGTGCCTATTGTGTTCTTCGCACCAAACAAACTATCGAGACTGTGTCGCAGAATCAACAATCCCCGTGAGCCCGCAGATCCTTGCAATACGAAGCACCGCAACAGGTACACGGAATGTGCCACGGGCGCCATATACGAAATCCCCATGTCATGCGGATCATCGTACATTGGCCAAACGGGCAGATGCTTTAATGATCGCGCCCGCGAACATGATGCGGCTACACGGGCTACCCCGTCGGGACACCTCGCCACGCACTGCAGCCGTTGCTCCTGCACACCGTCATTTAGTGACACAAGGTTTTTGGCCAGATACGCCGATCGGATATCGAGGGAGCTGCACGAGGCCTTCGAAATAAAAGAAAAAGGCAAGGACTGCATTAGTGACACGTCTGTGTCACTATCGGCAAAAGAGCACACTTTTTTACGAAGGGGGCTACACCGGACGTAGTATGACTGTGTTGTTTGCCATGAGTATATAAGAGAGTGGTTTTTTCATAAACGCTAGTTGCGAGTGCGCCTTGTTCACGTCTCCTTTCTTGTATCTTGTCCTTATGTATTTTCGGCGCCCTGAAAGTTTTCATAGCTGCACTGTTCAACACAATGCAAGTGGCCACTGGGCTTGCTGAGGTGCCGATATATCTTCAGCTGACCTTACACTCACAGATAGTGTAGTGGAGTATCCATGTAAGTGAGCGAGATTAGATATCCAAGAGGCAAATGTAATTCACACTGCACGTTCCGTTGGCAAAACGGTATCTTTCGTTGTTTTTTTCTGTTCCTTTTGTTATTGTTTTAAAGACATTTGACATTTGGTGGCATGTGTGCTGCTTCAGATAAAAAAAGGATAAAAAAAATCCTACCATACAAAAATGTCATGCAAGAGCCTCCAGCCAACTCAAAAGCCGAGATACGTTCACGAACTAAGAGAATACGCCCCGAAAATATTAACGCCGTCTCCAGCTGTAACACGTTAGCCATTTCCAGCGCAACCAAGAAAATAATCATCTCGCAGATGCGTCACTCGACACAAACCCAGCACTTCCAATCAGCTAATCAAATCTAACACTGACAAACGCGACCTCCGCCAGTCGACAATCTCCGCTGTAAAACAGTCGAAACCTGAAGGGAATAGTGGTCAAATCGAGATTGCTGCAAGATGCGTTTAATCAATACTCGATGAAGACGCTATTTGTTCCCTTCTGCTTTCTTGCTCGCTCCCAGGGACCCACGATCAAAGCTGTTTATAAGCTACCAAAAAAAAGTGAAAAGTAGGCGGCGTCGAAAGTTCAACTCGTTCGCTAGCCGTCGGTGTTCAAGGTCGTTCACTACGGCATATTTTTTGCTGCCGATCGCAGCACGGCGGGGAGGCTGGCACCGCTGAACCGTGCTTCGGACGAAGAGTCCGAACTTTAACAGAGCGACAACTTTTATCGAGGTGCTTGACCCTACGGCGCCGCCACAGAGCTTAGCGCGCTTGGGAAATCGACGGCAGCCTACGTGTGACCAGCAGCGCTGGCTCGCTCACCTGATTTGTTGGACTGCTTTCACTTCGGTAGCAATGGTGCCGGCGGTTCGAATTTCACACAGGGCTTGCGCTTCACTTGACTTGGGGTGAAGGGGGGCAACGCCGAGATGTCGTCATGTTGCCTGGCGTCGGACTACGTGTCACTTCGGCAACCGTTTGGGGACAAAATTAAAATTGGAGAGATTTGCTTCGCGATCTTCGTCAACAAACCATCGGAGAGGCAAGTGACGTCGCCAACGTCGCTCTCACTATCGTAACTTCCGGGAAAACCCGAAACGTGAGCAAACCCAGGGAAACCAGGGAAACGTCCTCGATTAATAGATTATAATATTGAGACGTAAGCCGCATGCATTGGCCGTATGGTTTGAATTATCATTATAAAAACGTAAGATAGATTAAGTTATATTTCAGGAATTATACGACGCAACACGACGTGTACTTATTATGGTTCTTGTAGCAGCCGACAAGCGTCGTCTGCACCACGACCTACTCTGGTCTGGGTTACGTAACGATTAATCGAATAACCGCTTGACTATGGACATGACCACTGCTTCATTTGCATTTTCATGTCATACAACGCCTACACACACACACACATTTTCATTGTGTTGTTCTGTGCAGGTCCTTCAAACCACGGGTTGTACGGAATTTCGATTGCTGACCCACAAACCGTTTCACAATTTATTACAAGTGCAACGCTCAGGGGGGTGTCGGGGTGTCGCGGCCAGTCGCGGCCAGTCGCCGCGAGCCCCAAAAAGGGTTGGTGCAGGGGGATAGGGATGGGGGTGGGGGTGTCGCAAGGAGGTTAGAAGGAGGGGACACGTTGCAATATTGGTGAAGCCTAGTCATCAAAAATTTAAACGATATTGTGCCCAACGTGACCGCAGATCTTTCTGGCGATTGGTGCGCGTGACATGTCACAAGCGAGATGGATGGTTTATTGTAGGATTCCTTGCAGGCTTGCCTGCGCTCCGTCGGTAGGTTTTTATCAGACCGAAGGCTAGATACGGTCACGTGATGTGGTCATGTTGGGCTCGATGTTGTTACGAAGCAAAACAGTAACAAACAAAAAGGTTGGGTGCAAACCTGCCGGTCTCGAAGGATGGCACAACACACAAGGTCTCAACCACTGCTGAATTTATTCGACAGAAGGTTGAGGTTTAATAGGTTTTAAGTACCACCTAATCAGGGATGGCCAAAATATACATGCAAATATGTATCGAAATACAAATACAAAATACTTCGCCAAAAATGTATTTAATTACAAATCTAATTACATTTCCAAAAAAAGCATTTAAGTACAAGATACAAATACAACCAAATGTATTTGGTCTCCTCCAAATACTTTTCCAAATACATTCCTCGAAATTTGCGTCAGCGACTTCAGGGTACCTGCAACAGGTTTCTGGGTATTTCATTTTAATTTTGCATCGCACACTTGGGAGTCAGTGTGCGAGGCTCTAGTAACATAATAGAAATATAATCACAAAAAAATGTAATCAGCTTGGACGTAATAGGTGAAAAAAGTACAGAGCTTCAAGCAGCTTTTTTTGTCGATTACATTTTGGTATAGACCAACAAAGTACCGAGACGACCAAGACGTGCAGCACTAACTAGAGAATTTTTTTATCGTTGCAACTCACACCAGTTACGAAAATCTGGATGACCGCGCATTTAGAATGTTCCAGGCAAAAATATGGATGGAAATCAGGCTGCAAAGCGTCACAAGTTGTCACAGGCAGTTATTTAGCCAGTCTGCCTGTGAACGTCAATTTCGTCACTATTCTTGCTCTGGACTAGCACCGTAATCACAAAGTCACTAAACGCTTGTACTTGATTGAGAGACACTGTATTCGGTGCAGAACATAGTTTTCTTCCTGCTCTGGACAGTGACACTAAATTTGAGGGATGTATTTTCGCCCACAAAATTTTATTTATTACAATTGCATTTGAAATACCCACGTTTTAGCATTTAAATACACATGTCAAATACATTACCCAATTTGTAATGAAATACAAATGCAAAATACACGAAGTATTTGAAATACTGCCCATCCCTGCACCCAACAATCTAAAAGAAAGGAGAAGGAAAAACAGATACAATCTTTCCTTTCATCCGTAATTAAAATTAACCCCACACCTTTTTTTTTTAGTTGGTTTGAATTATTTTTAGTTCACACTCAATATGAGTGGATTCTGTGGTAGTTAAATTCGGCTGTTTCAGGCCTCTTTCCTTCTTCCTGTCATTTTTTCTGTCGTTACTGCAGTCTCAGAAAATCCTACAAAGGTGAACTTACACCAGCTCACTTGCGCCCTCATATTTTGTTTGTTATGCATTTGTGGAGAGATCTCTGTTGTTTCTTTTTTTATTTTGGTTTAGGGGGGAAGCGTTGAACCAGGCACGGTAGCCAGAATTTTGTTTCGGGGGGGGGGGGGGGGGGGGCGCCAATGACAAAATGCTGTATGAGGGGGAGGAGGGAGAGGAGGTCCCAATAAAACGGAAGATTTCGGGGGGGGGGGGGCCCGGGCCCCATGGGAATCCCCCCTGGCTACGTGCCTGCGTTGAACCTTATATAAACCTCAGCCTTCTGTAAAATAAATTCAGCTGTGGTTGAAACATTGTGCATTGTGTCGTCCTCCATTTAGTATATATATTTTTTTTTTCTTTCTTGTTTGGGGGTTTTATTTTAAAAGCTAATGTGCATAATAATTTATTTTGCCTTATCCCACGTTCCCAAAAGCACTAGGCCCTTGGGCGAGCAGTCTGCGGGGCACATTCGAGTCAAAACGACACTGTACCCAAACTCCTCCGCACTTGAAGCTCTGTCCCTGTCCACAAGTCCCATGCAATGGTGACCCTGCTGACAGGTCGGAGTGTCCCGCTCCGTCCTGTCCGCATAGTGACATAGCAAAACGTAGTCCTCCTCGCTCATTCCAGCCTCCCTGAAGACCCTACTCAGGGGATAGCTGACCTCGGCCATTCCTTTCATAGCCCCGTAGCAACAAGGACAGGAAACGAATGCTGCTCTCCTCTGGATACACTTGCGCAAAACCAGGTCAGTCGCCACACCACAGGCGTGGAGCGAGACTCCAACGTCGAAGTCCCCGACGTAGTAGTCCATGTTACACTGGTACAAGGTGACGTTGCACAAACCCAACGCCAAGATCCTGTCCCGAGCGCGTCGCATGGATTCTTCCTTGTTTTCGATCATCACCACCCTGCAGTCGGGTCGCAGGTAGGCGATCACGATTCCTACGTGCCCGCCACCCGAGCAGAAGTCTACGACTGTGCAGCCGTCGAAAGTCCGCCGCAACGCGAGCACCACTAGGTTTTCGATCTGCTGACACTTGCGGCTCGCCCTGTCGCTGGGAAGCCCACCACCCGACGGATGTACCAGGCTCGGGTAGGTGTGCCAGGGCAGCGGCAAAGAGTCCGACCCAGGGTTGGGCTGCAGGTTCGGAACGACCCCGGCCTTTTCAAGACGCTGCACGATGTGAGCCGGATCCTTGTGACGAATCCGGGGTCTGGTGCGGTCCGGGTGCGTCGAGTAGAGACTGTCGCGAGGCAGTTCTGCCTCTTCGATCGCCATCCGCTGCTTCTGCTGAACCGAGCTTAGCGGCGCCAGGCCCAAAGCGTCCAAAGCTCGCTTAGAGCGCTCGTCCGCCGCGACGCGCTCGTACCATTTCACCGTAAGCGGAAGTGCGGAGACGAGTTCGTCGTGGCTAACTCTGGATCGGAGTTCCGTCAGGCAAATGTGAACGCAGGGAAAGAGGATCACGTCTGCCAGCGTGCGGTCAAATCCCTCGACGTATCGATGTTCCAATTCCGGAAGAGTCTTCGGGTTTGGACACTTGTTGGAGTCCGGTGACAAAGCCGCCCTGCGTGCATCCTTGAGCACTTGCTGTTGTCTTCGACGGATGTTGTGAGTCTTTACGGGCTGTCGCAGATGGGCTTCGAGAAGCAGCAATTCCTCGGGGAGCTGAACACGGGGCTCCTCCAGTACTTTCAAATCCCGAAGTTTGAACACGGCTGTGTATATATCGATCTCGCAGAAGTTCGTCCAGAGAGATGACTCCGAGCAGGCGGCCAAGGAGCCGCCTCTAAATCCTAGCAGAGCTTTGCAGAAAGGATCCGCAGTGCGAGTGACGCGGTGGGACAGTGCCCACCGCAGTACGCCGGCGAGCCCTCCGATGCAAGTTATCTTATCTGCTAAGTACACGGCGGGCGGCTTACAATCTGAAAGGGGCTTAGGAATGACTTCTTTGTCCATTACGGTGCAGTTAAGTTTTTGCAGGATGTCGTATGGCACCGTGAACGAACGCTGCTTGTCGTGTTGAGATTGAGCCGCGTCGACAAGAACCACTTGGATGTCGTCGATGCCGCAGATCGAAAACGAGTATAAGACAATTAACGTGCATAATGGCACTTCGAGAAAGTCCGCGTCACTGTCCGAAGCACTGAGCACGAGGAGCTGGTTTCTCTTCATGATGAACGCTGTTGAGCTTACATCAACGGCAGAAACGCGCTTTTTCGTGAGGAATTTGACAACGCAGGACACGCAGGCGCACCATGCGCAGGGGCGCGGACATCTTGTTTGCAGTGTGGCCAGAGGAGTCACGTCAACCTCCGCTCCGGACCTACCTCGTTCCGGACCTTCCGGACGTTCCGGACACAGAGCAGAGGGGGTAAAGGTGGTAAACGCGAAGACTGAAAACTCTCAGCAATATAACAGTGATAATTTAACGTTGTAAACCAAATTCTGAGCTATTCTAACGCTTATAAAAAAGCAATATAGTCATTTTGGAAATTGGTGGTTGCGCGGTTTCGTATTCCTCAACCGCGCCGTTGTCGGTCGTCGGATCCACAGGTCCACAGTAGGGAGGCTGTAGTGGTCCACAGGGTCCACAGCATCCACAGTTGTCCACAGTGTCCACAGGTCGGATCTGTGGCAGCCTGTGCAGCCTGTGGTCGGACCAGCACGAGCGCTTTGCCGCTTTCGTCCTTTTGTTTTCTGTTGTGTCGATCTCGACTTCGAACGCCGCCGCGGATATCGGCAATGCCGACCGGGTGCTCTGTTCTCCTGTGTCCTAACCGGAGTCCAAACAGTCCTCTTGTCCGTGCTAAAAACCTCCTGTTCCATCGCTTACCGCGCGAGGAACCTCTCAGGAGTGAGTGGTGTCGAAGGATTAGTAGAGAGGACCCCGGACAGGGAGAGCTGCGTGTGTGCTCTGACCACTTCGACGGTGACCGCGACTACCGTCGTCTGCTAGGTGTTCTTCGCGATGCCGGGCAGTCCAGGAAGAAAGTGCACCTGAAGCCAGACGCAGTTCCTTGGCTCCGACTGCCCCCCACTGCGAAGCGCCTCTCCCCTGCCAAGGACCCAACCGTCCCAACGTCGAAGAGCCGAAGAACTGCGGTAAGTGTCGCACGTTCGTGAACGGTACTTGGCCGCGTGAACCTTTCAAAATTTACAAACTTTTCCTTTTTTTCTTTTTTCTTTGCAGAACGATGAGCCGGTTGAGATGGGTTGCTTCGAGGAGAGTACACCTTGCGTGTACAGCTGCCATTGCCGTCACCGACCGGCGACACGCGACACGGCGATTCAGGCCGACCCGCACGAAAATCCGGCACCCGCACGGACTCGGAGACCGTCTGGCATGAAGGACAGTTCTGTGGGAACGGACCCGTGGCTGGGAAAGCAGTCTGTCGGTAGGCATGAAAAAGAGCTAGCCGCCTGTATTCGCGTGCTTGACGTGATATCGCAGGATAAACTGTAGGAAGTGTCTTCAGTAGGGTGTCGAACCGGAACCGAACCGAAAACCGGAACCGTACCGTTATTTTTAGCCGAACCGAAATATTTGCCGCCATCTTGGAACTGAACCGGAACCGAACCGCAAAAAAAAAAAAATAACGGTAACCGATTCAAAACGGTTCAAGATAATAAAAGGAATATATGGGAATAAAAAAACTGGCAGCTGTATTTCTATATTGATCAAATCGTCATATACAGAATTGGAATGTATGATAAATTGTGGGTTTTCGTGGTGCTTTTGTATTGGCACTATGATTAAACATGTGTCACATTGTCACGTGACGTCGTGGTGTAAATACATGCTGTCAAGTAATGTCACGTGACCCCGTGCTGTCATGTGACTCACTGCATCAAATCGATTTAGTTTGAGAAAGTCACTAGATGAGTTAACCTTGTTGACAGCGTGACCTAACATGACATCACGATTTTGCACCGAGAGTCACATGACACCGTGACGTAAGCGATTTCCATCGAGTCGAGTGCTCGGGTTCATGACAATCAGCATCATCAAACATTCGGGTAACGGCTCTTGTTCAATTAAAGATGATATTAGCCCCACACCAACAATATCTCAAGCTCAGCCCATGCTCTATGCTTTTTAACTCCAGCGCATGACTATGATGGACACTGACGGTATATAATTAGCGTCAGATCACGTGGCCGCTTGTTCAAATTGCGAGTTGAGGAGGGGATTGACAGCTCTCTCTTTCCTTTATTTTTTCTGCATTTGCTATTGTGCAGAGGGGAAATCTAATGGATGTTTTCGCAACCTATCAAAGTCAGCGGTTACTTCCTAAAAGTATTTACTGAAAGTACAAAAAAAATGTTGCACGACCTATTTTGCTTCATTGAGGCACCCAAACATTTTTTAGTTGTTGCTTCACTGCATCCGAAAGAAGTCCCCGAGAATAGAAGTATTGAAATGACTAAATGTGACTTGTTAATATGACGTTGCATAGAACTACATGTGTGTACAAAAGAAATACTTGAAGAAAAAAAAAAAAAAAAAGATCCTAGTGGCTTTAGAGGGACAGCCGAACGTTGGCAGTCGTTCTCAAGTTATTGCCCAAGTTTCGACCACAGGGCGATGCAACAATTTTTGTACTTTGCACAAATACTGCTTAAAACAGATCTCTGACGTTAGCGACCTATGAAACACGCTTTTGTTTTTCACCCCATGCAATAGAAGTTCCAGAAAAAAATTAAAGAAAAACGAGCACCATTCACCCCCTTAACTCGCAGCCAGAACAAGCGGCCACGTGACCTGGAGCTGATTATATGCCGCCAATGTTGATCATGGCAAAGCGCAGAACACGCGCTGAGTTCCAGGCATTGTTATGGCTTGGGCTATTGTCGTTGCAGCGATTGGACACGGGCCACTACCCGAATGCATGTCGAGGCATCGATTGTCACGAACCCAGTCTGCGTCCACTGTGTGAGCAGCATTTGAATATCGTCAAAACTGGGATCGCAAAGCTCGATGACACATTCCCGGGGATCGTACTGTTGCCATTGTCCCCACAGCTCCGTCATCAAATTTCACGAAAAAGCAAAAGGTGGCTTTGGAAGGAGAGAGTGAAAGGAAAGCTCCGCTTTCATCCTTTTAATTCTGCCGCAACGAAAACACTTCTTGGCCAGCAATGTTCCGTTCGAGTATTCTTGTGTCCCACTAGTGCCAGGAAGCTGTCGTAAAGTAAGAAATATTCCTACTGAATGTCGTTGCACAGCCCTTTTAAAGGAACCATAAAAAGAGTTTTATACATTCACTAAATACTACTTAGAATCACTCCTTAACGTTAATAACTGAATAAACTTGGCTTTGCTCTTCTTTCTAGGCAATGGCAGTCACCAAAAAATTAGAGAAATATGAGCGTCGTTCATCCCCTCAACTCAGATTCAGAAACGGCCACGTGGCCTGACACCTATGCCGCCAACGTTAATTATACTCCCGCGCTGGGGTTGGAAATGAAGAAAACGTGTGCTGAGCTCCGGGCATTATTACCGCTCATTCACACTGAAAGCGGATCCGCGTTCGCAAAGCGGTTGCGAACGCGGTTGTATAAGGATCCAGTACAATCGCGCGCACACTCGATGACATCAAGTGTGCATGCAATTGTAGTGGATCTTTATACAATCGCGTTCGCAAAGCGGTTGCGAACGCGGATCTGCTTCCAGTGTGAATGAGCGGTTAGAGTTCGGCAATTCTCGTCACCGCAGTGGTTGGACGCGAGCCACCACCCAAGTGTCTGCTGAGGCATTGATTGTTACGAGCCGATGTGCAGTGGCTCACGCAGTTCTCGTGTCCAATACATGAGCCGCGCTCGACTGTAGTCACGCAGGTAGTTTTGATCCCACAATTACAACATCAATCCTTGCGAAGGCAAGACTAAAAGAAATAGCCTCATTTTATCCTCGCAATTTTACCGCGACATAGAAGCTTATGAATCAGTGGCGGCCTGTGCGAGTATAGTACTTGGGCCAGACTAGGACCAGTACGCCTCTGAAAATTCATGAACATAACCCCATATCGTTTTATGACCCCTTTAAACTTCAAGGGGTTTTAAAAATATACTGTGTTGTACAGGTTCCTCTTCCCCGTATCTTCGGCACAGACCGAAACGTGTAGTCCTAGAAACTACTTTGTTTGCAAAAACACTCTTGCCAAAAAGCATGTTTTTGTCGTGCCAGAGCTCGCGCAGTTCCTCAGGACAATGCACTAATAATAATAATATGTGCCTTTTAAATACTTGGCTTTCACTGAGCTTGAACCTCGTGCAGCTTGCATTTTGCACCATTGGATTTCATTTTCTCAGGAAGAAGAAATCACAATCACCACCAGCATATAATGTGATGACGTCACATGCATACCATGTTAAACATTTCAGCTTTCTGGTGAAATTCGATGTTGGCAACACCAGCAATAGATGTCCTAATTGTAAAGTTGTGCAGTATTTATAGCAGTCTCGCGGTGATATACGGCAGCCTAGAGAAATGTTAGAGCGCATGATTATTGAAGCATAGCGTTGTAAATTGAGGGCCCAAAACAAGTGCAGGTAAAACCAAATATAACATTAGCCTCCCGAGGCAGTATTTCGCGATGTTTCAAGCTCATGCAAGTTGATGAAATGTGATTTATATTCAGATTTTAAAACTATTTGTCTGTCTCTCGCGCTATTTATGTAAAATTAGGAATTTCATTGCATGAATCTTTATGCATCTCTTTTTGCAGTGAGGCGTTCTGTAAGGGATTATTTAGAAAAATACCATTAATTATCTCTTTCTTTTTGCACATTTCGTGTATTTGCCTTCCGATCTATCATATGAGCACAGAGTCCTTTTTGGCATACCCTGCAACCCAATGTTTCACACCGCCAATCAGCGAACAAAAAACATGTTTACGCAGACTCAACAGCTCGCGTAGTTTCGAGTATCGTCCTTTTGTGTCGTCTTAAGCGGTAATGTGAACTTTATAAAGTAAAATTTATTGATCACTATAAAAGTATATTTACTTATTATCTGAAGCTTTGACAACGTAAATTAAGGGCCGACCACGACAATTTAACTTTTTATACTGCGACACGAAGTTGTACCAATCATGGCAGGCGCGTAGCCTGGGGGGTGTTCAGGTGTCAGAGCACCCCTCGAAATTTTGATTTATGTATTATATATATATATATTTCTTTTTTTTTTAATGGTGTGTGCGTTTGCACCAGCACCTTGAAACACCCCACGAAAATATTTTCTGGCTACGCCACTGAATCACGGGTATTTTATGCGACCTACCACCCTTTGCGACAACATTTTATACCGTGTAAATAGATTAGCTTGAACTTTAGAATTTTACTTTAACACAAAGAAAGGACAGGAAACGACGGTATATATAGTTCTAAATTTCAAGCTGATCTATTTACGGGTATGTAACAACAAGCTCAACTCTTTACTGTTGTACTTAAATATTTTGATTCAGGTAAAATATATGTCACTGGTAAACAAAGGGATGTTGAGTCGTATGAACACGACGTTATGTACGTTCATGTAAATTTTCTTCTATACCCGTTTTCACCTCAAAAACCGAAGTAAAAAAAGTCCGGCTCCTGGCAGAGCATTACTAATTTTCCCTTTTACGAGGAGAATTAATATATATGTAGGTGCATTTTAGATTAGATATATGTTATCTAATCAAGACGTATACGTTTCAAACGCCAAAGGGATCGCTTCTTCCTCCGACAACCAAATCTTGTAAGAACTACTTCGCACGGCGTAGGAGCAATGCGCAAAACATCCTTTTTTCTTGAGGTGAAAACGAGTATAGTGTTTTATCAAAATTAAGTAACTGATTTTCATATCTTTTGTACCTGAAAACAAAAGTGAATTGCACGGACAATGGAAGAAACAATATAGTTAATCGTCTCATGGCATAGTGTCTATTGCCAGAACAATGTAAAAAATATATTCTCAATCTAGCTGCTGAACCAGTTCGAACCGTTATTTTTTGCTCCCCGGAACTGAACCGAAACCAAGCCGATAAAAATTTCGGTTCGACACTCTGGTTTTCAGCGCTCCTGCACGGCGCTCAGGTGTCGTCCAACGGCACTCCACGCGAATATTGACAATATCTTGCAAATGTGCTTCTTTTTTTTTTTTTTTGCGTTTGCATGGTGTTTTTGCTTTTTGATGTGTCTTTGTTTTGTTGCCATTGAATATTCTTATGCTTCTAGCTCAGAAAATTTTGATTTCCTTCTTGCTATGCAGAACGTAACACTAGTCCACGCCACAATGTCTGCTGCCCCCCGAACCTTTGGACGGAGTTCGAACAGCACATGAAGTGCCTTCGGATGACACTTGAACACTCTTGACGGCACTCTAGCAGCAGCATAAATTCCACACAAATTTAGTACTATACTATTTCTTAATTCAATTGGGCCATGAGGGTTTTAATCTTATTCCTTCTTGTCATTAGGCCAGATAAATCGTATAAACATGCTGCTTTTTGTTGTAGGTATTAGAAAATAATAATAATCTTTATTAGCAAAGGTTGGGGTACACTAGGTGGCTCACAAAGCTAGACAGAGCCTGTACTTATGAGCGTCTGCTAGCCCGCCAGCCAGAGCAATAGAATGAAAGTCAAAACAACGGAGAGGCAGGTAACACTGCCTAGACACAAAGTCCCAGTGCCGGACCCCAGCACCGCTCAGGACGGGAAAGCGGAATTTTATTTCTGGATCGATTACCATGCCAGCGCGCGACTGAAACACTTCCAGCCAAGCACCGGGAAAATACCCTCACCAGGCCCGCACTACACACCACCCAACTCCAGCTGACACGGGGGGCCGGAGTCCAGGGCCCTGTATCCAGGCAGCGTTGTGGAAGGCGTATGTTACCTTGAAAGCTAACGGGAAAGTCAGTGTGCATGCACAGCCCTGGTTGACCTTCACCTTCTTTGACTTTCCATTGTATTTCACCCTTCAGGTCTAGGTTGTCATTCATTTCATTATAGAACAAGAAAAAAATGTTTCTGCCAGACTGCCATTTTCTGGAGGCTTGTACTAGTCAAACAGGATGAAGAGTCGAATAAGTAAACCTCTTTCTGGCCCTTTAGGCACGCAGGCGAATTCCCTCGTGAAAGTTCTCGCCACCCGGTGCGTCCAGACCGAGGACTCGGAGACACCTGACAGTAGCAGCACCACCGTCGGCAGCAATAGCACAACCACTGCTGCCACCTTTGCCTCTACCACCACTACCTCTGCAGTGCCACTGCAAAAGCCGGGCCTGGCATGTGCCATGAACCCTGTCCTAAGTGATTCGGATGAGGAGGAGGAAGACGAGGATGACAACGACGACCCTCTGTGGGAGCCACCCACCAAAAGAGGCTTTGTCAAGTAAGAATGGTTTTCTCTTGGGATGAGACAGGCTAAATATGAACGAACATGTACAGCTGGCACCAATATGCGCTGGCGCATGTCTTGTGCTATCCGAATTGAACAAAGTGCCCCATGGGCTGTTTCTGGCATGCTGGGTTACAGAACCAAATGCCACAATGCAGCAGTAAGGAATGTGGCAGTTTACACCCAGCACTCCCAGCGTTGCCTCTCCGGCTTGAACGCCCTTGTTCCAGCTTGTACAACTGCTCAATTTGCAAATATTGCAGATCAAAAGCAGGCCATAGCAAGAAAAATGAAAAGTGTGCCACACGACTGTGGTGGATTGGCAATTGATCGCAAATCTTTTGGGTCATACGTTTCACAGCACAGAATTTGTTTTTCTCTTCAAGAACAGGTAGGAATAGTTACCAGCACTTTGCAATGGTTTTACATGATAACAAACATACGAAAAGACGCCATCAAATTGTGACCACGACTTATCCTATGTAAGTATTAGTCCGAATTTTAACACACCATACGTAACTAAATAAACAAATAACTAAACCTTTTTCCAAAATCTTTTTGGAAGTTTGTGATATGTAAGGTTGACCTTGGACAGGATGTTTCTGAAATTGTACTATAGTAAACGGTTCAGAAAATGAACGAGGCAATATTGCTCCTTTTGTTCTTGCAAGCCAAACACAGAAGCGACTGTTTATCAGTGAACACTCGAAACTTTTCCAGAAGTGCCGCCACTGTGCGCGGAGAGCCAGACTGCAGGGAACGAAAGTTCCTCGTGTTTGAGAGATGCCTGCGGCAGTTGTTTGCAATCTGCCAGAATCTCAAATTAAATCAAATGGTTTATTTTTACATTAAAAAAAAAAACTGGGGGAGGCCAAAGAAAGAAAGCTGAAAAATCAGCTTGACATGATCCTTGGCCACCCTACAGAGGCAGTGGCAGCAGCAATGGAAAAATATACACTGAAAGTTGGGAAGTAAAATAGTTAGTGAAAATACAAAAGGGCATGTCAGGAGCCATGGGTAGAAGTATTAGAGAACATTCAGAAAGTGACTAGCGCTTTCCCTATCGTTATTTAAAGCTTGACTTTCCTTAAAGGGGCGATGCACTAATTTTTGTACTTTGCGCGAATACTGCTTAAAACAGATCCCTGACGTTAATGACCTATGAAACATCCGTTTGTTTTTCACCCCGCGCAATAGAAGTTCCAGAAGAAAAAAAAAATTAAAGAAAAGCGAGCAGTGTTCCCCCCTCAACTCGCAGCCAGAACAAGCGGCCACGTGATCTGGAGCCGATTATATGCCGCCAATGTTGATCATAGCCATGCGCTGGGCTGGCAAGGCATAAAACATGTACGCGCTGAGTTCCAGACATTGTTATGGCTCGGCTATTGTCGTTGTTGCAACGATTGGACACGGGCCAGTACCCGAATGCATGTCGAGGCATCGATTGTCACGAGCCCAGATCGAATGCGTACGCAGTCTTCACGTCCACTGTGTGAGCAGCATTTGAATATAGTCACCGCAAAGCTCGATGACGCATTCCCGGGGATCGTACTGCAGCCATTGTCCCCACAGCTCCGTCATCAAATTTTGCGAAGGAGCAAAAGGCAGCTTTGGAAGGAGAGATTGAAAGAAAAGCTCCGCTTTCATCCTTTGAATTCCGCCGCGACGAAAACGCTTCTTGGTCAGTGGTGTTGCGTTCGAGTATTCTTGGGTCCCACTAGTGCCAGGAAGCTGGTGTAAAGTAAGAAATATTCCTACCCAATGTCGTTGCACAGCCCCTTTAAAGGGATTCTTCAACGAAATTTGAAATATACCCGTCGTGTTCAAAAATGGGTTGAATATGATGCACAATATCCGTAAACGACAATTGCACGTTTGTATTTTGAGCCTGGTGGCTGTATTTTTCGTTATAAACGACCCACTCTTGCAAGCATTCCGAGAACAGCCAGCGGAGACCACGTGACATCTAACACAATCGTGACGTAGTTTATCTCGGGATGAGCAAAGCTACGGCGAGGCTGACGTCGAGAGGATGGCTTAGTCGTTTCAGCCACCGAAGCGGCTGCTTTTGTACGAATTTTGAGTGACGGGTTAATCTTCTGTAATCTTGTAGGGGGACAATAGCGACTTCTGCGACACACAAAAAGCATTCTCGGGAAGAGGGGAGTTCCTCCTTCCCCTCTTCTCTCGTCGTGGCCGGAAGCGAGACAATTACCGTCACTACCTCTCAAGGTTCCTAGACGGGTGTTACAAACGAGGCGTTAGCGACATGTCCACCAGGTGCTCTTTGTTGATCGTTTAATTCGTTTTAAAATTCCTTTTCGTGACTTTTTTAACAAGATATTGGTATGTTCCATGTGATACTGCTCTTTTGAACACATATAGACCAAAAATGAGCGCCGAAATTTCGTTGTAGTATTCCTTTAAAAAGCCTGAACTTCCAAAAGAAAAAAGTCGACCCAAAATAAAAGTGAACAAACTAAAAGAAAAAAAAGAAAGGTTGTTTACAGCATAGATCCTCATTGCCTATTCAAATTGCAGAAATATGTATAAAAAAATGAACACAGTAGACCACTGCATGGGCCAAAATGTCTAGACACGGCACGGCCCGGCCCAAGCCCAACAGAATATTGAATTTCCAGGACCCAGCCCGGGCCCGGCAGAATTTTTGGTCAGTAGCTTGAGCCCGGCCCGAGCCCAACAAGGTTGTTTAAATATAAGCCTGGAGCCCGGCCCGATCTCAACAGATCATATACATGAGCCCGAAGAAGTTTCCAGGCTTTAACCTAAAAACTGTTTAAGCATAAAGCGAGCATATTTTATTTAACTTTTCTCATGATGAAAAACAGTGCGAAACACAAGGACACAGAGGAGAGAAATACATACAGGACAAGGCGCTGCTCCTGTATGTATTTCTCTTCTCTGTGTCCTTTTGTTTCACGCTGTTTTTCATCATGAACGTTTACCAACTAGCCCAACTGTCCATCCTTTTTTTTTAAATTTCTTTTAAACTTGGACCGTGTTTTTTTTACATGATAAATATCCCAACTTAGGCGATGTGTTTTCGAGAATATGGCGAAATCTGCAGCTCAGAAGTGATTTAAAAAAAAAAAAAAAAGTGGCCAATATTTTTTTTATGTAATGCATTTCTTGAAGAGATTTTAGACTTTTCGTTGTTCAATTCGTATCACCGAGAACTTTCCTCTCTGCATGTTTTTGTGAAGAAACAATCATGCTAGCACATCTTCAAAAGGTTGTACAAGCATAAAATTATCTATAGTTAGCTTATCTTTTGTGTCATAGTAAGGCTCCCTGCACAAAGAGCAAAGTTAAGCTCACATTTTTTCTGCTTCTTTTTTTTATTTTGAAAAACAGGAAAAAGACTCATGTTGTACCCTGCGACTGGACTGCCCTCGTTTTCTTGACCGCACTTTCCCACTATGCTGGAGGAATCCATGCGTTTCCTTTTATCCATTTTTTTTAATGGCGCCGAAGTGATTTTGCATTTCTCATGTTTGTTTTCATTCGACTTAAAATATCAATGAGCACACCTTTTTGTTATCAACGATTTCGAATTTGCGCCACACGACTCCCAGCCACGGCCCGGGCCAGCACGATCCGAAAAGTTTTTGTTCAAGCCTGAGCCTGGCCTGGGCCCGAGAAAATGTGTGCTACCCAGCCCGAGCCCGGCCTGCGGGCCAAGCCGGGCTCGGGCCTTTGGACTGGCCCAGGCCCGTGCAGTGCTTCAGAATACCGTACGAGTGATCTACAATAATATACATAGAAACAGCCAACATCCGAGAAACGCAATGGGAATATGGTATGTAATGCAATACACTACAAGGTAAACTAAAATACATACGTAATACAAATTGAATGCGGCCAGCGCAGCGCACACTTTTGTCTTCTGTCTTTTTTCGTGGTTGTAAAAACTTCCGTAATTGTTTAAATGATGCATTATGTATATCTAGCTCATTACTTACTATTTAACAATTTCGGCAAGCTGTGCCTTAACATTTGATTTCCGTATGCAGTTCTGTTAGTGGTCGCCTGCCAGCATTCCCGCCTTCATGTTTTGTACCCGCGGATGTTTTTCGTCAAGTGTGATAATTTAGAAATAGTTTCAATGCAGTTATATGTTTGATTTTTGTGCGTACAAATGAGCCTATAGCTATACATATTCTGAGCCATCAGTGCGTCTAAACTTCTAAGCAATTCTTCCGTATGCGAGTCGTAAGGGGCATTGTGGATTATACGCGCCATTCTTTTCTGAAGTAGGTAAATTTTGTTTAGGTTAGTCATTGTGGTCGTGCCCCAGACGAGATGTGAGTAGTTAGAGGCTCTGCAATCATATTTAAGCGTCTACCTTTTTTGCGGTTTCCATACCTCTAAAGGTTCGGGCAAGCCAGTGGGCACAGAGAGAGTCACTAAATATCAGTGCATCATATTTTAACCGGATGACGCGGAAACCTTCTCCACCTACGAGGACGACCCGCGGTTTTGAAAGCGCGCAATACGTGACAACATCGTTACGTTTTTGGTCCTGGCCTTACTACTGGTCAGAGCCGCTAAAAGCTTTTTTTTAGTCGAAATACAAAATATAAGTGGCACGAACTGTTTCAATTATATATGAAAGTAGTTTTTTGTTCAGTATTTTAGATCAGAAAAGAAACAAATGCAGTTTATAATGTATGGAAACAAGGAATGACCCATTGACATACTCGCCACCAAGCGGTAGAAAAAGCGGCGCATACTAGAAAGGGGGTAGTGAGATCAGGCGTCGATGCGGAAAGGTCCCGGATATACGCGGCGGCGCTGCAGTTGTATGGGCTCGAGGATCCGGCCGGTTCCGAGCGTTCCCAAGGCCTTCGGCGAGCAGGTTTGGCTTGCAGTTTGGCTGTTTGGCGGTTTGGCAGCGCGAAGTGGCTCCTGTTCTGAACTGATCTTTACCTCGTGTTTGCTGTCGTTAGTGGGCAATGAAGTGTCATGCCGAATTAGTATTTAGCTGCGCAGCAAATGCAATGCGAGCCGTCCTGGCTGCCCGCTTCATCCTGCCTATCCAGAACATGCTTTAGTGGCGCCCTCTCGAGCCGTCGACACGGAGTGCGGCAGCCGTGAGCGCTCGCTGAGCTCACTACCCCTCCTCTAGTTGACAGCCACCCAAGCCAGGACCAAAGACGTCATGAAGGAGCTTATTTTTTGCTTGTGTTTGTAATTTTACCTTGCCTATAACTTTTAAAATAAAGCAAAATTTCAGGGAAGAAAAGTTTCACTTAGTTACTGCGTTCAGTGCGCTCAGGTTTGGTGCAAATTAAAAACAAGTAAAAAAGTTGTTGCAGGGCCCTTTTAAAGTACGAGCAAAATAATGATCTGTATATAACCTTCTTAACGAAGAGCAGAAGCACGAAGCAGTTCCTATGTGTTAATCCAATGACACCAACTAATTTCGAAGCTATACTTCTGATGTGCAAGTCCCAGGTCATATGCTCATTGAAGATCACACCTAAGGTTTTAAAACCTTTAACCATTTCAATCGGTGAGCTTTTTATCAAAAGATTGGCAGGCAGGCTAACGTTTCTATTTGTAGGGCGGAACAAGATATATCTTGTTTTGTTTGTGTTGATTTTTAGATACAGTAAAACCTCGTTATAACAAAACGGGATATAACAAACTAATGGATATAACAAAGCAATCATAATTCCCCTTGCTTGCTAATAGTGGGAAGAAATGGACATTGGCTATAACAAACTAATGGTTATAACGAAATAATTACGACCGCTCCTTCAACTTTGTTATAACGAGGTTTTACTGTACATAGCTACTTTCTGTCCAGTCGTCAACTTACAGTGTCGTTTGCAGTATCAATGATCTCACTGAAACCACTTCCTGCAAGCAACATTGTTGTGGCGTCTGCGTATATCACGAGTTTAGCTGTCGCGCCGATGTTCACTATGTCTTTAACATATAGATTAAATAAAAGCGGTCCTAAAATGCTGCCTTGAGGTACCCTAGTACTTATTGGTTGTATAGTTGAGCAGGAACTATTGATGTTAACATACTGCCTGCAGTGAGATAAGTATGATTGCATGAGCGCTAATGCTCTGCCACGGATTCCATAAAAATCAAGTTTTTTTATGAGTAAGCTATGGTCTAGATCAGGGGTGGCCAGGCTGACCCGGCCTAAGAGCTGCAAACAAAACCACGAAACTCGAACTACTTTCAATATATCCGAGTCAAAAGCAGTCCAACTGTACCTAAGGTAGCAGTAGCACAAGACTACCTAACTGCAACCTATTTTTCAAATCAAAACACGTTTCATTTATCTTTTTGAGGAAGTGCTCGTGTGACGGGGAGGGAAGCGGGGGAGTGTGTGTGTTTGGGGGGGGGGGGGGGAGGGAAGGAAGGGAAGGGAAGGGGAAGGGGAAGGGAAGGGAAGGGGGAGGGAGGGAGGGAACTGCGAGCCACACTTTAACACGCAAAGAGCCGCATCCGGCTCGCGAGCCGCAGCTCGGCCACCCCTGGTCTAGATAATCAAAAGCTTTTGTGAAATCTATAAAGACCCCAAATACCATTCATGTTTGTTCAAAGTTTCTCAAAATAAATTCTTTTGCCTCAAATAACGCTAGTTCGGTGGAGCGATTTTTCCTAAATCCAAACTGTGCATCGGTAAGCACATTATGTTTATTACAAAATGTCGTCAGTCGTGCACATATTTTTTCTAACCTTTTTGAGAATACCGGTGAAATTGACACAGGCCTATAGTTGGTCATATTATTTTTATCTCTTTTTTTGTGAATTATTTATACTTTTGCGAGTTGCATATTTTTAGGGAATGATGCACTAAGAATGCATAAATTAAAGATGTGAACCAGATGCGAGGAGATCAAGTCTATAACGTATTTAACTGGTGTAATTTGAATGTCCAGCCCATGCCCCAGCCCATGCATGCAATGTTTTCCCTAAATATTTCTAATTGGATTGGCATAATTGGCCGAGTGTAAACAAATTTAGATGGCTGTTTCATTTTGATGCTTTTTGTTCTTGCAGTAAACAAGTATACTGGCATGTGAGGTGATCACTAATCGTGCAACTCATCACTCCTGCTTTTGTGGATGACGTTGCGGAATTTGTTATAAAAAGATCTAGAAATGTTTCCGAAGTTTCAGTTACCCGCACTGGTGTTCCTATTTGATTTGTACAACCATAGACAGCTAGTAAACTTTCCATGTCGCACCATAGACAGCTGCTTGCAGATTCAGTTCACAAATGCGACATGGAAAGTTTACGTAAACTTTCCATGTCGCATTTGTGAACTGAATCTGCAAGCAGGTTTATGTTGAAATCCCCTCCCCAAACGATGTCATATCTATTACTAGAAGCATATTCAAGAAACACTTCCAGAAAGTTTTTAAAAGTTGCGATATTTCCTTTTGGAGAACAGTAGAACACCGCAATAATCATATTGTTTGTTACAAAGGAAAACACTTCATAATCCTTATTAGCGATACAGTAGTCGGTCAGTGGCTCAGAGTTAGTTTTTCTTTATTAAGGGCAAGATCCCGCCACCTCTGCTGCTGTTTCGGTTTAAAACATGACTGCTATAAGTTGGTAGCTTAAAAATATCAGTTTCATTAGTGTACCATGTCTCAGAAAGGATAATAACATCAAATAAGAAACCAAACTGTTTAAATTGCAGTTCCAGCTCCAAAAATTTGTTTTTTGAAGAACGTACGTTTAGATGAAAATACTTTTCTGTGCCATTTATATCACCGCCAAGATATCTGCCTATCTCCGATGGAAGTAGGATATCTGAAGTAGACATTTAAATGCCGACAGCTGTTTTATGCAAAAAGTATGAACGTGTAGAGTATACTATTTTGAGCAGCAATTACTCAAGGCGCATATGTTGTATCACGGTGCTGCCGGCTTTGCATTGAAACTGAAATAACGAAGCCAAAAGTTTTGATCTAAATTACAGTTGACCAAAGATATGATAAATTCATTTTTCAGATTACGTTGAAAAGCCCGTGGCTCGGGTTGTGGCAATCTGCGAGGACATCGAACCTCTGAGGGAGGTCTTCTTGATGCGAGGACGCCGCGTCTACCGAATCTAAACCAGAGCTGCGACAGGGCACCCGAGGAGGGCCTGGTTGCTGCCAGGATCAGCCGTTTTGGAAAGAAGGCGCCCAATGCAACGGAGTAATGGTTTGCTTTGCAGGTGCAATACCAGTGTACTCTACTTGCTGGTTGAGTTCTTGTTGCATTTGGGGCTGTTGTAACATGAGATGGAGTGGGGCTCTGGTCGCTTGCATTATGTATTCGAGGAAACTTGCATTTTGCCTGACGAATTTTCCGTTTCGAGATGCCTAAATGCAGGATCCTCGGATTGAGATAGCAATGAAGGGCCTGGGGTCATAGAACGAGTTGAATTTGTTGTGCTGCTGTTGTCTGCAGAGCATGAGTTGACCTGAAACGAAGTTGTGCTTTTGTGTGTAATGTCACTTGTTGATGTATGCCCGGTTGTATCTTTTTCTCGCTGCATCTCTTTGTTGTGCCTGGGCGTGGGTGTAGCCTTTGTCGCCAGAGTCAGGAAGTGCTGGTAAAGTTGCGCACTTTCCAGTTGAACAGGAGCTCGAACGGAGATATGTTTGTGGGTCCATGCGGAAGTGAACAATATGCTAGGAGAAAGTAGTGAAGGTCATTCGTCCAGTACTTATTTTTTTTCTTGTTTGCGACGATGAGCTTCTTGAGCATCCTCATGAACCTCCCGACCTCTCCGTTCACTTCAGTCTATCTTGTTGTAATGCGGTGGTGTCTGAATCCGAGTTCATTGGCAAACCTTGAAAAGTCTCTGCTTTGAAATGGGGGACCATTGCCGGTTTTTAGAACAGCTGGGATGCTGAACTGGGCAAAGATTGCACGCAGCTTGTGGACAACCTCAATTGATGGAAGTGTTTGTAGGATGTTTATTACTAGGTACTTGGAGTTGTCACCAATGACGACTGTGGCGTACTTGCAGTCTGGAAATAGTCCGGCAAAGTCTAGTGACATCTCGGTCCAGAGAGTCTCAAGCAGTTCAAGTACAGGCAGGGGATGTCTGTTATGTTTGGGTGCCGCAGCCTGGCAAGCTATGCTTTTCATGACGGTTTTGTCCTCAAGAGTGTCACCCCAGGAAACCAGACCCTGCTTTGTAGCAACCTTTTTGTCTTGACAATGCCCTGATGTCCTTTGTGTGCGAGGTCAACTGACGTGCGTTGCAGACTCGCTGGTGTGACGATGCATGTCCCTCGCACAATTAGTCCTTTCTTGGACACGGGGAGTTTGCTTGCTACGCGTGAGAATGGACAAAAGCATTAGCCTTTCCAGGCTTATTTGTCGGGTTGTGCTGTTTAGTTGCAATGTTATGTTTTATTTGGTGTCAATTCTGGACCACCGCCAAGGGTTTTATGTTTTAAGTAGTAAACGGTGACGTCCCAAACCCGGACCGTGCGCCGTCAAACTTTTACATGACCAAGCACTTATGCTACACTAAAATACCAGGTACAAAAGGTGGCCGGTGTGAGGGCAAGGCTCCAATTCACTGAGCTGCCAAGCGAGGTTCTCTGCTGTGAAACGGTCTGGCAATTACAACTCTGGGAATTTACCGTTAAGCGGTTGAACCAAGAAGACATCTAGTCGTGGTAAAGGTTTAGGCAAGTTTCAAAGCGAGCTTGTAGCTCTGTCCCTTTGATTACCATGTCAACAATGTAAAACAGTACAACCAATGGTAAAACAGTACAACTTTGAACACACTCTACATTCCTTTCGATTGTTATTTTGCTTGGAATTGTCGCTCGTTTCTACATACCTGCCATGAAACAGAGGTTTGGGCCTGAAATATAGCGAAGTTTAACATCGTTCAGCGGTCAAGGAAAAACGCTGTAACTAAAGCAATTACACGTTCACAATATTAATAAAGGTACATACTATCCGGTACAACCGAAATAATAAAAGTTGTTAATGTTATTTTCCGGCGACGAGACAAAATTCACGCGCGTTTTCCCATAGGAATACACAGGAAGACTGGAAAAGTAGACTGCATGCTGTCTGCTTCAATTTGCAACTGGAAGTCCCGTAGACACTAGCGCCAGCTGAGCCTCTAGCATTTATTATAATAACTCTATGCTGCTTACCAACCTTTAAATTTAAGTCTTTTGAGGCCTGCACTTGCTTCTTATCGCAAGTACCGGGCCAACATTTGGTCTACGGGCCGGCGTCGTCTAAGAGCAGACGACAAGCGGAAACGTTTGAAAGAGCAGACGACAGTTCGAACAATCACGCGGCCGTCTGAACTTGAAGACGCACTGAACGTAGTTCGCAGGTGGTCCGCACAACTTGACGGTTCTCTGGCGTTCATGTTCGAACAAAACAGATGAATCTAATGACCACAAATATCCGTGAATTCAACCCAAAGTGCTTCCCACCCAAGCAATCGTTGTCCGACGGCGTCTGCTTTTCCCTTTTCACGGCATATATCCAGATTCTCTGACGAACCGAGCACGTGAAAACTGACCTTCAAACCTTTCTCGACATTTTTGGCACGGCCCCAGTCGGGGCGTTTTGACGAGAAGGCAGGTTGTTTTCTGGTTCCTTTTAAAACAACGCAGGAATACTATACGTCTGGCATGGGGACATCTGCCCACAGCCCCAGACCGGAAGTGCGACCGACGCGCCATCACCGCACCGTGACGTCACAGAGTTGAGTTTGTGTATATGCTCCCGACTGGAATTCATCGCGGATTCTTTCGACGACACAGGCGGGCAGCACACGTCGACTGCGGTGTCCCAGCTTTCGCCACTTTCAGCATACAAATTGCCGATATGGCACAAAACGAAGCCTGGAAAATTTATAAGGCCAAAGTTGGCAACTTACCACTGGGATACAAATGTTTGAGGTGGCAGCCAGGACTCGTTACACATCTCAATGATATTATACTTTCAAGCTGTGTGCAATGCAAGCACAGCTTTGCACAATGTTTTTGTTTGCACTTGCACACAGGAGGTGTGTTCAGAAGCCACGCGCTCACACCTGTGCCTGCACTGCACACAAGTTGTGACTTTGAAGTATAGGGCAGGTTTATGAATATGAGGTGCATGCGACAAAGGGAAATAGATCAAGATTTTTGTTTGGAGTATTTAAACAAGTGAAATGCAGGACTACAGAGATGTGGTGTTTTCAAAGGCTGGACGGTGGAATAAGATGCAATGAATGCCTGCCCATGTTACTTGTGCACGTAAGGGACTTGACCACATGTAATAAAAAAAAACGGGATTATGTGTGGAGCTTGAATGTTTTGTTTTACCGATTGTTTGTATTTTGTGGCGGAGACTGTTTGATCAACTATGCAGTCTTTTTCCTTTTTGTACGAATGAAATTGCCTTCACAAGCGCACGTGCTTAGCAAGCCCAAGGTGTTGCGGTCGCTTCTGTAGCTTCCCCTTGGCTTGGGATTAGTATGAAGCAAGGTCTGGAAGTAAAAGCTGGACAAAGGAGAGGCTCCGTAACCACCGACTGCTCAAGCTTTTTTAGTTGGCAAACACATTCCAAAGGACCCCAGAGGGAGTGGTCTGCAGAGTTGACTACAACCATTTCATTCCACTCCAGTGAGCATTCTGGGGACAGCCCCTCTGCATGGACATTGTATGCATATTTGGAGAAGTGGAGTCTGTATTGGTGCGCAAAAGAATCGCCGTATGCATCACACTGGCGTTCTATTGCATTTTAGTCCAACATTCTCCTGGTTATAAGTAGGGTTTGGAGTTTTCGGTTTAAACCGATTAAAGTATGCCGAATTCATTTTCGGAAATTCGGTTTTAACCGAAAAAGGTCAGTTTGTAGGTTTGGCTTTTTCGGGTTAAACCGATAAAAGTATGGTGGGGGAGGGGGGAGAGAGAGGGAGGGCTTTGCAAGGTTCGACATTGCGCAATGATTTCGTAATTGGCCTCTTCCAAGGTTCAACATGCAACAAAAGAGGTCTTGGATTGGCCTTCGCAGGACATCAGTCTTATCTGTAATCGGGCTTAATGTGTCATGTTTCCGGTCCTAAAAAAAAAAAGTTTGGATGTGAGCTGGTATAAGGTTTTTCGCTTCATGCATTTCAGAGGTCACCGTGGAAAGCCGTTAATACCTTTCTTAACACCCTCTCTCAAACTTGCCTGTAATTGAAAACAAATACAATTTTTTTTTTTTTTTGCCATTCTACTGGTCATTGTACAGTTATCACCTCGAACGGTCACGTCCTCAGAATGGGAAGGAAAAAGAGCGCGCTGAAAGATTATGCTCACGAATTTGAGGTGTGTCCCGAGAGAAGTTGTAGCGGAGACGACGCATGTATATCTGTTGTCCACAAGTATCACAGCTACAAGAATCGTCTGATCCGGTGTCCGATTGTTTCTTTCATATTCACCACAAAAAAAAGAGAAAAGAACGGCAAAACTTTAGGGAATAAATATACACCGAAAATTAATATTTAGAATAAACACCAAAGAAAAAACGAAAATTGAATTTTAGAATATACACCGAAAAAAGTGCACCAAATTTTGAAAAAATAAACTGAGAACACTGAACCCTAGTTATAAGGGAAAATCTGCGATTGCAGAAGCAGGGTCGCGTTGTGCAATCCCTGCAACGTTCGAGCACAGAAAGCATGGCTATCAAGTAACAGTTCTCTACAAGGAAATTTCAAACAAATTATGCACTTCTGTTTGCTGGGCGACGACCTGCCTCCTGCAGAGCCCGAAGACTTCCAGCACACCAGGCCACAGTCAGATTGGTGCAAAGTTAGCATGGTTCGTAATGCCTTTCCAGGCAAGTCGCGACCGCGGGAGGACGCTCCCCGCAGCAGGTGCACTCTTTAGGCGAGAGTATACTGCACCTTTTGCACGAGTACCAGAGATCAGAACAAAACGGCTATCAGTGTCAGACAAAATCTACTTACGAACAGCACTAAACAAGGCTTGCAAATTATTACCATGCCAGCATGGTCAGCAACCACGAATCTGGGTCCGGTGTCGGACCCAGATTCATACGGTACAAGTCCCAGTGACTTTACTCCAGCATCTGGAACTCCACCTCATACAAACTGCCTCTCCAGCAGTAGGTTGCCATGTTGATCACGTGTTGGATGTGGCAATGCAGGCAAGTGGTCGTGAGAGTTCTTGTTGCTCACCAATGGTGCAAGGGTTGAAAGGTGCCAAGAACCTGGATCTTTTTCAATTTTTCATATAAACTAGGATATACAGGCAAAATCTGTCTACTTCAGGAGTCTCAGGCATGAACTTCCACCATCATTTAAGTAAATCCCTGAAATTGTTGCAAAGCTCCTTTAAGCAGCATAGACTATGGTGGGAGCTACATGCCCGCCAGACCAATCCGCCACCTCTTGCTTATTAACTGCTCCGGTTCCTTGTACATGTGTATGGCCAGGACCGAGAGACTGTGACAAGAGGCACACGACTGGTCCAAGGACATAGCCTCCACTACAGTCCAGCTTAGGGGTAAAGGAAGTATAGGTGGTCGTTCATGAGTAATCACCACAGCAGAAACTCTGAACTGCCTCATTTATTCCAAGCCCAGGGCAGGGGGCAAGCATCTTCCTCTAGACATGACTCTAGAACTCTTCCCCACCATCGTCCTCGGCCCCCTCAGCAGAGTCGATGCCCACTTCCTCGTAGTCCTTCTCCAGGGCAGCCAAGTCCTCCCTGGCCTCTGAGAATTCTCCTTCCTCCATGCCTTCGCCCACGTACCAGTGTACAAAGGCCCTCTTGGCGTACATCAGGTCAAACTTGTGGTCCAGGCGGGCCCAGGCCTCCGCAATGGCAGTTGTGTTGGAGAGCATGCACACCGCACGTTGTACCTTGGCCAGGTCGCCCCCGGGAACCACTGTCGGCGGCTGATAATTGATCCCAACCTGGACACGGCACAAAAAGCATTGAAGTCGCCTTCAAATGGCGAAGAGAAAGAGACTATGCAACAAACCACTACAAAGAAAGAGCCACAGCTGAAATCTATGTTGAACCCATGGTGCTTGGAGTTATGAAGATGTCACGAAAGTGCCGATACATTCTTAAAGACAGGAGAGGAGGGTTCCCCACTAATGAAAACATGAAGAGTACTGCTGCAAGGAAGGACAAGACAAGTGTACACACCTTGAAGCCAGTGGGGCACCAGTCCACAAACTGGATGCTCCTCTTGGTCTTGATGGCCGCAATGGCCGCGTTCACGTCCTTGGGCACCACGTCTCCCCGGTACAGGAGGCAGCAGGCCATGTACTTGCCGTGGCGGGGGTCACACTTCACCATCTGGTTGGCCGGCTCGAAGCACGAGTTGGTAATCTCCGAGACCGTGAGCTGCTCGTGGTAGGCCTTCTCAGCCGAGATGACCGGGGCATACGTCACCAGTGGGAAGTGGATGCGGGGGTACGGCACCAGGTTGGTCTGGAACTCTGTCAGGTCGACGTTGAGGGCGCCGTCGAAGCGCAGGGAAGCGGTGATGGAAGAGACAACCTGACTGATCAAGCGGTTGAGGTTTGTGTAAGTAGGGCGCTCAATGTCGAGGTTACGGCGGCAGATGTCGAAGATTGCCTCGTTGTCGACCATGAATGCGCAGTCCGAGTGCTCCAGTGTGGTGTGGGTTGTGAGGATAGAGTTGTAGGGCTCAACAACAGCAGTAGAAACCTGAGCCAGAAAGAAAAACACTAAGATTAATAAACTGACAATGTTGCAATACAGAACACTAAGCAAAACATAAATGGCAGCCAATAACTTTCATGGTAAGCCTGTCCCCTGCATGGTCTTTCCCCAGCGTCACAGTCCACGAGGGACTACGCGAAGATCAGGAATATGCGGGGGCTGTGCCCACGCCGACCCCCCTCCCCACAGATGGAGGAGTGGCCGGGGACACTGTTTCTGTCCGACACTGTGGCAGGGGATGGCTGCGTGCAAGGTCAGCTCCTTGGCCACAGAGAGGACTGGCGGCCTCGCCGAAGCGAGGCCAGCCCGTATCTCTTAGTGTCGTTACGTGCTACCACCTATTGGCAGAATTGGCTACCCATAAGGTGCCAGCAAAGCAATCTTGCCAAGAAGCGAGGGGCACAGAAAGGCACACCTGGGGGGCGGGGTAGATGGCAAACTCCAGCTTGGACTTCTTGCCGTAGTCCACGGACAGGCGCTCCATGAGAAGGGAGGTGAAGCCCGAGCCAGTGCCGCCCCCGAAGCTGTGGAAGATTAGGAAACCCTGCAGGCCCGTGCACTGGTCTGCCAGCTTCCTGATCCGGTCCAGCACCAGGTCCACAATCTCCTTGCCGATCGTGTAGTGGCCCCGGGCATAGTTGTTGGCCGCATCCTCCTTGCCCGTGATCAGCTGCTCTGGGTGGAACAGCTGCCTGCAGGTGCAGGGGGGGGACACTGATGAGCAATCCAGTTCACAGCGGGACAGGTATTTAAACCCATTCACTTAAATCTAAAATGGAGACTTTCCAAGCTTTCGTTGTCCCATGTGGCATTAGACGCAAGATGAAATTAAGCTACGGTCACAGACTGGACGAGGGAAGAGTTCCACAAAAAGGTGTGCATAGCAACTGTCTTAAAGGGACACTAAAGGCATTGTTGAAAGATTTCCCTTTTTTTTTATCTTGTATTGTTTAAAAGGTGTCGATTCCCACATACATCAAGTCCTATATTACAGAACCGTTTATTTACCTCAGGGCAATAGAAAAACATGAGGACTCTTCTCGCAAACCACATTGTGTGGACCAATGAAAGGCCTAGAATACGCTCAGATTCCGAATGATTTTATTATAATTCGTTTCGTAGAAAGTCTAATAGGTACACATTCAAATAAGACTCCTTTTTTTCTCCGCAGGTAAGGACATCACCTGCAACTCCCCGACAAGCGCCCTTCGGTGACCACTTCACTCTGAAGAAAATTCTTCCCAAAAAGGGTGTGTCGCAATCTTTGAACCCGCTTTTAACAAAGAAATAAGCTATGCACGATTGTGATTTCAGGTTTGTTGGGATGCTTAGAGCGTCTAGATTGAGTTGTCCCCACAAAAAAAAAGAATCTCAAAATAGACTTCAATGCCCCTTTAATAAATGTGCCTCCCAGAAAAAGAAAAAAAAATGTATTAAGCAGGACGATTGAAATTATCCTGGAAGAAGTGCATTACAAGTGCACCCCTTTGCAGCAAGTCTTCTGCCACAAAAAGGAGGAGTGTGTCACCAGCTCTCCTCACCTGTAAGTGCCGGTGCGCACTTCGTCGACCACAGTGGGCTCCAGGTCCACGTAGACAGCCCGAGGCACATGCTTGCCAGCCCCAGTCTCACTGAAGAAGGTGTTAAAGGAGTCGTCGCCCCCGCCGATGGTCTTGTCGCTGGGCATCTGCCCGTCCGGCTGAATGCCATGCTCCAGGCAGTAGAGCTCCCAGCAGGCATTGCCAATTTGCACGCCTGCCTGGCCCACGTGGACAGAGATGCATTCCCTCATGACGATAGATTTGCTTCTGGCTCACAACAACAACTGCATGAAAAAAAAGGCAAAACAAGCGTATGAGAAACTGCACTACAATCAGCTAGACAAAATGGCAAGCTAAGCAACGATAAAAGGTCCCACAGATATTCAATGGAAGGATGCGTAACATGACTAACATTCGCAGCTACAATCGAAAATAGCGATTTCCCTTCCTTTCATGCGTGTCTTGCTTCAGTCTTCATTAAGTTATATCAAAATTACAGCCGCAAGAAAAGAGAAAAGGATTGCTGTTGGGTAGCAGGTACAAGAGTGGAGCCAAGACATCAATCTTGGCTCCAGGCTTTCAGCATCCCAGCCAAGCACGCAAGCTTGTGATAGCAGACATCAAACTCCCGAGACAAGCACCCGTGCTTATGGCTACAACCGCGCCAGTTCGTTAAAAAGGGCAAGAGTACTTCACTAAACTTAACCTCACAGGCATGTTCGGCAAGTTTCCGCATTTGCAGTATGTGTGGTTGATAAAATGCGGGCCATTGGGCATCAAAGCACCTGGACTGGAAGAAGAAAAAGTGAAAATGTCCAAAATCTTATTTCACCTCGTGAACGGTGCAACGACGCATGCAACGGTGCATGCTGTCTGCTTGTCCAGCAGTTCACCTGCATGCGGCTGCTCTATTGGACCACCTCATGGTCAAAGACGCGTGCCATACATGGAGCAAAGTTCCACTTGTCTAAAGCAGTGTGCCACATCTGTGCCCCGCATGGTCTTTCCCCAGCATCACGGTCCAAAGGGACTAGGCGAAGATCAGGAATATGCGGGGGTTGCGCCCACACCAGCCCCCCTCCCCACAAATGGAGGAGTGGCCGGGGACGCCCCTTTCTGTCAGACACTGTGGCAGGGGATGGCTGCGTGAGGTGCAGCTCCTGGGCCACCGGGAGGACTGGCGGCCTCGCCAAAGCAAGGCCGGCCCGTGCCCCCCAAAGCGTCGTTGCAGGCATTAACAAAAGTGTGCAAGCGGGAGTACAAAGGATCAGCAGATAAGACAACTTGGGTAAAACACTGAGCAAGTGCGTACCCAAAAGTTGAGATGACAAACGGGGATGGGCACTTGTTAGGTCCAAAAGCAGAACCCCCCCCTTTTTTACGCATGGCCCTAGGCTCCAGCCACCCTAGCCCCTGCCCTTAATCCAGGGCCGAGCGTGAACCTTCAAGAAACCTTGCAGCTCCGGTAATCTTGCAGGGTAGTTCCTTGGAAAATAGCAGTCTGGTAAGCAACATCATCTTACCTTGAATGCTTTATCGAAAAAACGGTATAAATGATATCTATTAGCAAAGTTTCGCGAGCCATTTCATGTTGACAAAATGTGGGCACTTCGGCAACAAAGCACTTAAGAAAAAAATAAATAAAATGACGCAAGAGTTAGCCCCAACAGCATCCGCAACTTTCTATCCCAATTTTAAACTTGTTCTTTTTATATATTTTGAACTTCCACAGGGCGTGACGCAAACGTCAACGTGTAATCAGCTGTACTGCCACCGCACCGGAGTGTATGAACTAAAACGAAAAAAACTAAGACAAAAAACAAAAAAATCGTTCATTGTTGCACTGAGGAAGTCGCCGCGGCGCCGTAACGTTGGCGGCGCCGGCATCTTATGGCTGCCATCTTGAATCTCAAATCCCAAACAAGGTCTACTCGTCGATTTTGAAGTTTGTCACCGCTGGCGATGCGATGCGATCGTCTGATAAAAGGAACTTAAACAAATAGTTTATATCTATATACGCTACGTTAGGGGGAAAAGTGTTCCAACGCTGGGTCACGAATACACTATTATAATAGATACCACGAGGGCGAGTCAACCTCTTCTCGAAATTAAAATAAGGAAAACAAAGTGCCAGAGGTAGTGAAATATTACGCCTACTCCTCGTCCCATCTCCCACTTTAATATACATTTACCGCAAAACTCGTCGTCCCATCCCCCGCTCTAATTTACTTTTACCGTAAAACGATTCAGCCACGTTGACGCAAGGCCTAGCAATGCGAACCGGCATACAGCTTTCAGGGCTACATTTCAAACATTGCAGACTCGCGTCTTGTCAAAGCAAGATCCGCGAGACTGGCGAGTACGCCCAGGCCCGAAAGAAATGATTAAAACATACTTACATAAAATACTTCGGCGTCAAAGCCGCAACTGTTCGTTTCAGGTACGCAAGGAATCCCGAGACGAACAGAAATGAATCAAGTAGTTCCGACCTTCCACTTATATAGCGCCGGGACGCCAGCAAAGCTTTATCTGCGCATGCGCTGCTAGTTTTCCTTATCTGCTGTTATGACTAATTTTTTATTAACAATTCTTTATATTCAACCTTTATACAAACAATTCAGTTAAATAGAGGTGCGTGTAAGACGATTTAAATGTTTTACTAAACTTTTAATTCCAGATTGTTGAGAACTCTTTTTAGTAGCGGGAGTTCCCTCGAGGGCCAGATTACGCTTTTGTGCTTGTGCGTTTGTGGCGGGCGGTGGCAACGGCAGCAACGGCGCAACGGCGGACGTTCGCCAGGCAAAAGGGGAAGCAAAAACGAAACAAAAACAGGAGCCGCCTAACTTGCCGAGCGAGCAAGCCAGGCAAATGCTCTGCATCATCGTGCCTCGAATAACCAAAAAAAAAAAAAAAAAAAAAAAAAAAAAACTTAAATTTAAATTGCCGCAGTCTTTCTCACTGCTCTGACGGTCAAACGCCAAAAATCGTTTTTTTTTTTTTGTTTTTTTTGTTTTTTTTTTAATTATTGGGGCTGGAATTGCGTGCACGTCGTGCACGGTATGTGCGCTCGAGTGTTTTTGTTTTTGTACCGGCAAGCAGGCGCGATCAGTAGGAACTCGGGATCTTCAACATTTGATTCGTACCGCGCCCAACAACTGAAACACGCAGAGTTCTTTGACATGATGACGGCGCACAAAAAAAAAAAAAAAAAAAACACAGACAGCATTTTTTTTTTTTTTTTTTTCCTAAGCTGAGACGGAGGGTCTGGGAGGCTCCATCGGCTCTGTTGCCATGGAAATTCGTCTGCTTTGAAGGGGCACCAGAGCAGAGCGCGTCGCTCGGTCGTGCTCTGCTGGCTACGGCTAAATATATGCTGGCTGTCCCTGGCTGTTGCACTTTGTGACCCTATGCTGCCACGCATCCAACGTGGATGGCGTGCTAACGTGGATTGCTGTTTTTCTTCTTTTTTTTTTAATATTAATATTTTAACATTTAAACAATAAAAGAGAAATTATTGGACGAAAAATAACACTGGGAAGCTGTGGAGGTCTCGGTGTGCGATGTGGATGTGCACAAAGTACAGTGTAATATTTCGATAAGCGTTTCACAAGATGCAGTCACTAACAGTTGTTAAAGGGTTGACACAAAAAAAAAGTTCCCGAAACTGTTTTTTTTTTTTTTTCGAAGCGAAGTGTTTTAGGAGCAACAGCTGACAGGACGCTTGTCGGAAAACAGATTAACCTTGTATGCTCTCATACTAAACGTTCAGACGAATTGAGCGACGCACATGAACACTTCGTGGCTATCTAGTGCAGGGGGTGCCCGTATTTAGGGTATCCAGGGTGCACGAGATCGCGACACAGTGTTGGGATTCCGGGGTCACGACCTCTCGAATCTCCGAAGTTGCCAACTTGGCCTTTGGTATTTCAGAGGTGGACGTGGTGCCCTTACCACTCGATGCGTCACTTGTTGAGCGCATTACTGTTCACCGCGGAGAAAGCACAGGTGGTACAAAAATATGGCACCGAATGCTCGAAAAGAAAGGAAAAAGAACGATAATAATAATAATGATAATAATTTCAATTGTTACAAAGCGGGCGCATCAATGACAGAAAGAGAATTGTGGGATGGTGCCACACTCCAATCGGGAGGCCAGGCATACCCAAATACACGAACATAATGTTTGAATTTACAGAACAAATAGCAATATAAATACTGTGACACAACAAAGCGAGCAGGAAGTGAAAATCTACCCTATTACGCAAAACACGAACATGCACTGAGTCAAAAAAAAAAAAAAAAGCTTCATATAAGAAGTACACGGAGCACTTCAACTAAAAATGTAAGGTTTACTACTCAATTAAAACGTAAGGAGCGTGTTAGTAGAGATTTAAAAAAAACACACAAAGAACGAACAAGAGGACAAGAACACAGGCCAGTACGTACTCGTCTGTGTTCTTGTCGTCTTTGTGTTTATTATTTCTGGGTTCTTTTTTATCTACTCAGTGTTCAAAAAGCAAGCACCATGCTGAGTGTGTCTAATAATAATTCACGTACGGAAAATGTTCAAACACGTCGACGATCCGAAGGCACTGTCATCGGATGTATAATATCTTAGCATTTTGTTTTGAAGTTTTCGTGGCAAAGTAAAACTCTAAAGCATGGGCTGTAGACTGTAGTAGAGAGAATATGTGTTTTACATAATATATGCTCACATAGTTTTACCATATCGAGTACGAGCGAACGGCAGGTAGTTGGTATGTGACGGAGGTCGCGTAAGGGGCAGCTTCAAATTCGGAATTCTCGACTTCAAAGGTGTCGCAAAACAAAGATTAGATAACATTATATCTTTTCTTTATTTATTTTTTATTAGAATATTGAGTCTGTTATGGAGTGGCGAAGGAAGCGGTATGAATTGAAGCCTCAAACAATAGGGGAACAAAAATATTGAAAAATATTGATGTTTCCGATTTTTTACCTTGCACGGACTGCAAGTTTCAAAATAAAATGACTACAAACTCACCACAGAAGGAGGAAGAGACTGATCAAGAAGTTTGTTCGCGCTAAATGAATTCTTGATTAAAGCTTCATGATTTTAATCACGCAGCTGGACGCGTTCCTTTCTGATAATTATTCAGAACTCGAGTTTTGGGGGTTCAGGTTTAGCTTGAATCGTCATTGAGTGCAATCCTCACGACAAGTGCGTGGTCAACCGGCCTCTGCCGCTAGGCAGCGATCGAGAATCTTGAGCGGGGCTCAACCGTCATCTCAACAACGGCGTTTGCATTGACGACGTCGTATTTCAAAAGAGCTGTACGCCCTTAGGCGAACCACGTGAATGGGAGTTCTCTCAAACTAACAAATGTACCTAAATGTTGCAGTAGAAAAGAGCAGAGACACGCGCACGGGCGGACGGACGCACGGACATATTTCTGAGGGGTGTGTGTGTGTGTGTGTGTGTGTGTGTGTGGGGGGGGGGGGGGGGGAGGTCGTTAAAAATGGATAAATGTTGCCTCGCGCCGGCCTTGTCGGTATGCATTCCCGTCATCACTCTTGCGTACGTGATGCAGGTTTTGTAAACCCCGGGTCAGCAGCAGTCGCAGTGCACCGGTCGTGTAATTTCGTCCCCTACTCCGGAGCGACCATTCCGCGGCGCCGTGCAACCGAATTCATGGTCTGCTCGGCAGAATATCGTGGACAGCCTTCGTACCACAGCACTCGGTGCAATTAAAACTCCAATTAAAAAAAAGAAAACGAAAAAAAAAAAAGAAAAAAAAAAACGACGAATAGCACCGTTGTCTCGACGCTGCTTCGTTTGTTTGTGCTTCCTGCTGTCAAAATTTGGAAACGTGCATGTAGAGGAACCGGTGTGGCCTTCGCTTCGTTCACCCCTAAGCTGACAGTGCGGTGGAAGCTACACGTTCGCCGGACCAATCAGCTGTCTCCCTTTCGTCACCTGACCCCACTCTCTGCGTGCGGTTATGGGCGCTACCCTGGTCACCTGGCGAAAAGTAGACGTACGCTTGCCTAACGAGCAGGGAGCCTCCACCGCACTGTCGGGGTGAACGCCGAGCCTTCGCCCAGTCTGAAGTGGAGGGAAGGACGAGAGAAGCTAATCTGGGTGGTGGCGGGAGAGGGAGACCCAATGAAGGCCATCGCGCGGCGGCAAAGCCGCTTCAAAGACGCAGTCGTGCGTGAAGTCGCGCCCTTCGAAACACACAAGGCAGAAACGAGGAAGCTCAACTGGCTGTACGAGTTCGCTCCGTGCTTTTTGGGGCCGTGAATCTTCTCCCCGAACTTGGCTGATCGAGGGCCGCTGCGGTTTCAAAAATGAGAGCAAAGAACATCTCAAATTCTCAAGATTTTTTTTTTTTTTTTTTTTTTGTACGGCCGGATTTTAGACAGCGTGCATTGTCAGCATCAATACAGGGTGATTCAAGGAGATGCCAGGCTCTTTAAATCGACCGCAAAATTCGATTTTTTAACCTATCGCGCCACGACTTTGTGCAGCGTTGCCCACAGATGGTGCTTTTTTTTTTTTTTTGTAAAATTTGCAAAGAGGCAATTTACCTGAGGAAAAAGTAAAGAAAGAAAAAGGGTTAGCTCCTATGGAAACGCAGCAAAGCCACCGGTCTTCAAACAACACGGCGCCGTTTCGCACGGGAGACAAGAGAAGGCGCAAGCGGTCGCGACGCCAACTGCCGCCAACGAAGGAGCATACGACGCCGAGACGGCCGAGAGCCGGCGTCTTTAGCAGACAAGGAACTGCAGTTCCTTGTTGTTACCGGGCCTGTTTCTGTTTCTGCGACTGTCGCCGCCTGCGGAACGTTCGTTGCGCCATCTCTTGCCTCCCATGCGAAACGGCGCCGTGTTGTTTGAAGACCGGTGGCGTCGCTGCGTTTCCATTCTTTCTTGTGCAAGGGGGGTCCACCCATGTCAAATTGCCCTCCGAGAAGGGGGGAGGGAGGGGGTCGACTTTGTTTGGGGGGGGGGGGGGGAGGGGGGGAGGGGAGGCGGCCGCCCCCATCGCCCTCGCCCCCCCCCCCCCCCCCCCCCTCTTGGATCCGCCACTGAACGTACCTCTGAGCACGTGTGTAAAAATAGGAATACACCCGCAGCAATCATTAATTTCACACCGCATAATAATAATGCATTCACCCAAATCCAATTTCGCGTCTCAGAATATTTCGCGTTTCACATCGAGGTTTGACAGATCTGGGTCCATCGGAGCTGCAAATATAAAATAAGTTTTAACACAGTGGTTTTATGAGAGCGATGACCTGATGATAACCACCCTGTCGTGTCCGTGTGGTGATGACAACTACAGCCCGAATACTTATGAGTTTAATATGACCCAGAAGAGCCTCAGTGCCTAGCTTGCGCCATCGGTAGCTCGCAGTTCCAGAGTGCGCGCTCAGGGATCGCGCGCACAGGGCAATGCCGATCTTCGTCCTTTATGCGCGAGGGGCGCCGCGCTGGACATCACACTCCTTCCCCCTCTAGATGCCGTCGCCATATCTTTGAGGAGGTCGCCTTTGACGTTGAGGTCTAGCGGAACTGTTTGATGGAACCAAGTCGGCATTGGGCTGCACTTCTGCTTGAGCCTCTGGGGCACATTGCTGTTCTGCTGGTGACGGTTCCCCAGTCGTCGGAATGGTCCACTGCGCTGGTAAACCTTGTGGGCCATTACTGGTCTTCGCTGTCGAAGATGCTTCTGTGACAAAATGTCTCGGGTGGTCTGTTACCGGGT